ATAACAAACTCTATCAGGACAATAACAAACTCTGCTATCAGGACAATAACAAACTCTGCTTTCAGACAACACACAGCTCCCCTGTTTAAATTCCTAAACATGCTAAACATAATTTCACCCCATACATTCTCTTGTGTCAATTACATTTATAAATGGTCAATGCTTTCCTCGGAAAGTGGGGAAATTTCTGATAGAGGAGAAAAGACATTTGCGCAACACTTTCCATTAGCACTGCGAGCACAGTATGGGTGGCATATTTAAGGGAATGGAAGAGGGGTCCCCTCCCCACTTACGCTGTAGCCACGGCCTGCTTCGCAATGAAACCCACACCGCACCGACATGTGGGCCAGTCGACAGTACCGTGGGTTCAGTCTGTTTAACTGTGTTCCAAACTAAATGGATCTTACGCCAGCTACCTCGGCCCCGGACCTAACCCCGTCCGGCATTGTCGTCGTGGGCCCATCGACGTCTCAGTGCGACCCGCCAGGGACGGCCTGCCCACCTCCTCAGGTACTGTTGTGTCTGTTTTCCCTGCCACGCTCGGTGTGTGCGCCCCCCCCCCCCCCCCCGTTTAGTTATGGTGTCCCCAGTACCCAGCGTGTGCCCAGCGCCGTGTCCCTTGTTAAGAATTACTAGTCTGATATGTGGGGTCTAGTATTATGGAGTAGGGTCAGCAGTTAGAATTAAGATGTATCTCAAGTATGGGAGATCATAAAGGCCCGGCCCCCAATAAGATATAAACAGTGTTAACTAATTGGCTACAAGACAATGTCAGCCTAGAGGTAGATCATGATCTTCTACACAGGAAGAATGGCTACTCCTTTAAAACTAACTTATTTATTATTAACCCTCTTAACAACCCCCCATATACATTCACAACAATAATTACTTTATCACACTATCTTACGTTCACAGTCTCCGTGGTGTAGTGGTAAGACACTCGCCTGGCGTTCCGCGAGCGCTATGTCATGGGTTCGTATCCTGGCCGGGGAGGATTTACTGGGCGCAATTCCTTAACTGTAGCCTCTGTTTAACCACAGTATGTGCAGGATACAAGGTTTTACAATTAAGGAGCACAAGCTAGGGTAAAGTCTACTAGTGAAGAACTTGAAGCTTGAGGCAGCTTAGGGTAGTGAGTCTACTAGTGAAGAACTTGAACCCTAGTGAGCCCACCCTAACATAACACTTAGGGGTGCCCAAAACACTGGCAAATACTACCCAAGGTCTACACAAGTCTTACAATTCCAGAGTTGGCACGATTATATACAAAGTACTTATCTTAGTGGTTACAGGAACTTAGGGTAAGGGAAAGAAGTAGAAGGAAGGGTAGAGGGGTGCAGAGCAACTCAGTAGAGATGTCGACACCACGAACGCCAGCCAGAGAAGGAGGACTCGTCTCCAGTTTCAGGTTCCTCCAGCTGACTCACTGCCGGCCGACTACTCAGCTAATCGTACAGCAGCCCTATATCCAAGTTTTCTCAGATCTACTTTACTAATACTTTCTAATCATTTGTAAACATAGTTGATGCCTATTTTATTAATTAATAATCAACCACAAGCTCTGTGAGAAACAAGAATCGTCTTACGTCTGGCAGGGAAGATACAAACAGACACACGTTGACAAGCGCATCAAATAATATAAGGTAGTTTATTTAGCTCAATTTGACCTCTGGTTTTCAACTGAGGAACCCAGGCTCGTAACAGACAAACCGTAACTGTCTCTATTTTCCGCTTGTTACAACTTGTAATAAAGTTGTTACATCTTGGCTTAACGTGTTTATGACGTATTAGAACGTTGTTACAACTTCCTATATTGGTTGTTATAACTGGTTAGGAGGTGCTAAAACTTGTTTGAACGTTGTACCAACGTCGTAGTTTTGGTGTGTGTTTGGCGGGATTTGCCCTCTCTCTTGGACACGAGGCTGTGTGGGTTATCGGCGCAGCCCTTCACCCCCCTCAGTGCTGTGCACGTGTGGGCCTCCTTTACGCCCACGGGCTGGCGTCGCACCACGCCTGGTGGCGTCGTACCACATGGCCAGGCACTTCGTGGCTTTCTTGCCCCTATGGGGCAAAGGCCCTTGCTTGCCTTTTGCCCTGGAGGGCCGCCTGGGCTCGCAGGCTACGTGGTGTGCACATGTTGGGCTTCCCTCTACCTGCAGGTCAGTGTCGCACCACGCTGGGGGTGTCACCCAATGTGGCCAGCCACTTGGTGGCCTCTACGCTCTTAAGGGTTTGCCCCTAGGGGCCCCTGGTTCGCCTCACGCCCCAGGCGGCGACTGGGCCCACGGACAATGTAGTGTGCATGTGCAGGGCTCCCCTCTATCAGCGGGCAGGTGCCGCATCCACAGGTGGATGCACATCTTTTAGCTGATGTCTCCCTTGCGGTCAGGTGCTTCGAGGTGCTCTTCCCCAGTTATGCTTTTGGTGGGCCCTCAGTCCCTTCGGGTTTTTTCTGGTGACTAGCTCGCTCTAGTTGGGCGGGGTGCCTGGGGTGGGCCTCCGGCCACAGGGACAGGCAGCTAGTGCCTGTCAGGTCCCTCATGCCCATGGGCCACGACATGTACGTGGCGCGGGGTCCCCCAGTCATAGGCCCCCCTGCGTGCGGCTCACTCTTCCGCGGGCTCCTCCGGCCCGGTTGGCTACAGGTTAGCAACGGGGGTCCGGTGGGCCCCGGGGGGTGGAGGGGCCAGTCCTAGCCGCCTAGAGGAGTGGTGGCGTGGCCCCTGCCCTGCCCGGTTCGGCCTCCTGTCGCGGCCAGCCTCCCGGGCCGCTGGTTTTTCCTGACGTTTTGTCTGCCCGGTGTAGCCCCGGCAGAAACTGCGACCTCCCAGGCCGATGGATTTATCCAGACGTCTTGTCTGCTCGGTGTAGCCCGGAAGAAACTGTGGCCCCCAGGTCGCTGGTTTATCCAGACGTTTTGTCTGCCCTGTGTAGTCCAGAAGAAACTGCAGCCCCAGTCTTGCCCTTCACCGGGCCCATCTTCTTGGGCTTAGCCGTGTTCCATTAGTTTAATTTACAAAAAAAGCCTCCAGATCTTTAGCCCCTGCTATTGCATTGCTCTTCAACAAGTCACTTGAACTCCAAACCTTTCCAGATATTCTAAAAAAAAAGCGAGAGTAACCCCTGTCCACAAATGTGGTGATCCCACAGATGTTAACAACTACAGACCTATATCAATCCTGCCAAACTTGTCAAAAATTTTTGAAAAACTAATCTATAAGCAGCTTTACTCTTATCTAGCCAAACACAATATACTTAGCCCTTGCCAATATGGCTTCAGACCCAAAAAAAGCACTAACGATGCACTTATTAGTATGATTAACTTGATTCATGCAGCTCTTGATAAAAATGAGTTCCCTGTTGAGTTATTTGTGGACCTGCGTAAAGCTTTTGACACTGTCAACCACCAAAACCTTCTTCTTAAACTACATCATTATGGAGTCAGAGGACACTCCCTGCAATACCTCAAATCCTACCTTACTGACAGGCTCCTGTATGTTTCTGTGAATAATTCAATTTCTCCCACCCTACCCATCAACATTGGTGTTCCTCAGGGCAGCATACTTGGCCCTCTCCTCTTTCTCATCTACATTAATGACCTTCCAAATGCCTCCCAACACCTCAAACCAATTCTATTTGCTGACGACACAACCTTCATTTACTCCAGTCCTGACCCCCTTGCTCTAAATGCCACAGTAAATACTGAACTAAATAAAGTCCATCTTTGGCTAACTGCCAACAAACTCACCCTTAACATTGACAAAACTTTCTATATTCTGTTTGGCAATAAATCCTCTAATCAAATAAATCTCAAAATACATAATACCCAAATTTGTAACAAATTAGATGGCAAATTCCTTGGCATTCTCATTGACCACAAGCTGAATTTCCAGGGACACATTCTAAATATATCAAAAAAGTTTCAAAAACTGTTGGCATTCTTTTTAAGATCAGATATTATGTACCCCGCCCTGCCCTGGTGACTCTCTATTACTCCCTTATCTATCCATATCTCAACTATGGTATTTGTGCTTGGGGCTCTACTACCCAAAATCATTTACGTCCTCTAATTACTCAACACAAAGCTGCTATTAGGACAATATCCAACTCTGGCCCCAGACATCACTCGGTACCCCTACTCAAATCTCTGAATATGTTAGACATTAAGTCACTGCACATTCTCTCATGTGTATTGTACATATATAAAACGCTAAACTGTAATGCCAATCCTGACCTCAAAAGCTTCATAGAAGGTTGTAACAGAACCCATGAGCACCACACCAGAAATAAATGCAGTTTTGATATTCCTAGAGTACGACTTAATCAAACTAGAAATGCTCTACAAATCAAGGGACCCAGATTGTGGAATGATTTTCCCAACCATGTTAAAGACTGTACCTCTCTCAACCAGTTTAAGATAAAAACGAAGCTATACCTAATAAATTCCCTGTAACCTACCTTACCCTTCTATTGTCAACCAATGTCTGTTTTTTTTAAAAAGCGCTGTTTGTCGACAGAATTGTATTTGTGCTGCTTTTTCAGCTATGTTTTCATTCCATGTTTTCATTTTACTCTTTATGCTCAATTAGTCTTAAGCTTTAGTCATTTAAGTTTTTCATGCCCGAAACGCTTTGCGTAATAGTGGCTTTAGGCATTGTATGTACTAGCCCTATCTATAAATCCATCACTCTTTGTAAAATCTCTTGTATGTATGTACCTTACCTAAATAAACATTTGATTTGATTTGAGTTGATGTTCCAGCTGTTGATGTCCCAGCTGATGATCTAGCTGGTGAGGTTCCAGCTGATGATGTTCCAGCTGCTAATGTTGCAGCTGATGATGTTCCAGCTGTTGATTCCCAGCTGCGCAAGTTCTAGCCGCTGAAGTTCTTGCTGTTGGTGGTCCAGCTGCTGATGTTCCAGCTGACGTTGCCCCAGCTGCGGATGTTCCAGTGGCCGTTGTTGCAGCTGATGTTCCAGATGTTGACGTTCCAGCGGTTGCTATTCCGGCTGTGGGTGTTTCAGCTGCTGATGCTCCAGCAGCTGATGTTCCAGCTGTTGATGCTCCGGCTGTTGATGCTCCAGCTGTTGGTGCTCTAGCTGTTGAGGTTCCAGCTGACGATGTTCCAGCCGCTGATGTTTCAGCTGATCACGTTCTAGCTGCCATCGTTGCAGCTGATGTTGTTCCAGCTGATGTTGTTCTGCTGCTGGTGTTCCGGCTGTTGATGTTCCAGCTGCAGATGTTCCAGCTGCCGGTGTTCTGGCTGCTGATGTTCCAGCTGCTGGTGTTCCCGCTGCTGATGTTCCAGCTGTTGATGACCCAGCTGATGTATTCCAGCTGCCGATGTTCCAGCTGCAGATGTTCCAGCCGCAGGATGTTCCAGAAGTCGATGTTTCAGCTGTTGGTGGTCCAGCCGCTGACGTTCTAGCTGCCGATCTTCTAGCTGTTGATGTTCCAGCTGAAGATGTTTCCAGCTGATGATGTTCCAGCTGGTGCTGTTCCGGCTGTTGATGTTCCAGCTGAAGATGTTCCAACTGAAGATGTTCCAGCTGCCGATGGTCTAGCTGCTGATGTTCCAGCTGCTGATGTTCCAGCTGCTGATGTTCCAGCTGCTGATGTGCTAACTGTTGATGTTCCAGCTGATCAGTTTCCAGCTGCTGATGTTCCAGCTGGCGATGTTCCCAGCTGCTGATGTTCCAGCTGAATATGTTCCAAATGTTCCAGCTGCTGATGTTCCAGCTGAAGATGTTCCAGCTGTTGATGTTCCAGCTGCTGATGTTCTAGCTGTTGATGTTCCAGCTGATGAGGTTCCAGCTGCTGATGTTCCAGCTGCTGATGTTCTAGCTGTTGATGTTCCAGCTGATGAGGTTCCAGCTGCTGATGTTCCAGCTGGCGATGTTCCAACTGAAGATGTTCCAGCTGCTGATGTGCTAGTTGTTGATGTTCCAGCTGATCAGTTTCCAGCTGCTGATGTTCCAGCTGGCGATGTTCCGACTTCAAGTAGACTGCAAGTCGGCTTCAAGATGACTTCAAGATAACTCCGAGACGACTCCTAAATGGCATCACGTCGACTTCACGATGACTTCAAGACAACTTCAGGTGGAATCCAAGACGTCTTCAAGATGACTTCAAGATGGCCTCTAGTTGGCGTCTGGATGACTTTGGGACGTGACTTTAGGCCAACTCCAAACGCCTTAAGGTAGTTTTAAGATCACTTGGGTGAACCTTCAGGATGTATTCAGACTGGCTGGACCTATAGTGTATTCTTCAGCTAAGTTTTCTTTCTCACGGGGCTCGGCGGGGGTCCCCCCCTCTCTCTTCCACGCTCTCGTTGTCGACTGCAGGATGGCTTCACGATGACTCCAAGATGACTTCTTGAGGTCTGCATGATCTCTTCACGTTGATGCCGTGATGACTTCAAGACGACTCTAGGACGAATCCTAGATGTCTACAAGATGATCTCTAGGTGGCGTCCGGACGACTCCAGGTTGCTTGCAGGACGACTTCAGGACGATTAACAGACGACTTCAAGATGCCTTTCACGGGGCTCAGCGGGGGTTCCCCCTCACCACGCTCACGTTGCGTGTTTGCGATCAACTACAACATGACTTCACGATGACTTCTTGACATGCGCATGATGACTTCATGTTGGCGTCTTCCTGATTCCAGGATGATTCCAAGATGACCTCTAGATGGCGTCAGGACGACTCCAGGAGGCCTTCAGGACGAATCCCAGACGACTCCAAGCTGCCTTTCATGTTGACTGGCAGCATCATATTATATATTACATTATATTAAATATTAATTTAAGTTTTTTTCTATTCAGTATTGGGTTATAGTTGGCTCACTACTGCCCCTGGGAAGGCCAAAGCAGTGATTGCCTCGTTGTCCTAACTACGTGTCTACATTACCTCCTATTGTCCTGGTGACCGAGCCCATCCGCCCCGGATCTAAATGCTCCACCAGCGACCCAAGGACGCAACAATTATGCACATTCTTCTCTCCTGCTACATCGAGCTTGTCCACACTGCCTGCATCTTGTGGTACCGGCCTACATGATCCACAGCGACCAAGGGAACAGTAGCCTCGTATTTTTTGTTATATTGCTTTTCTTTCTTTCCCTGGCAGGGGAAGTCCTGTAGCGAGTAAACTTATACTCGCTCCATTATCTCATCATCTTAATGGCATAACTAACTACACAAGTTATAATCCTATCCTTATTTACAGGGAACGGTTTTTACACCCTCCTATCTTACTGTGAGCTGTGGTCACCCTATATAAGCCAGCGATTTGATGAATAGCAGCAAGGATCGCACTTATGATACGGGAGACATCTCCCATCACACAGGGTGCAGTCGCACCTCCACAGATCTCCAGTATCAGCTCTTGATACTGGTAATGGCTCAAAAGGGCCACCACTTACAGGCTATTCATGCCCGTGCCACCTCTTGGGTGGCTTAATCTTTATCAATCAATCAATCTGAATAGCAGACGGGAGACATCTCCCGTCACGCAGGGTGCAGCCGAACCTCCACAGATCTCCATGACTTCAGATGGAGTCATCTTCAGATCTCCATGACTACAACATGACTTCACGATGACTTCTTGACATGCGCATGATGACTTCATGTTGATGGCTCAAAAGGGCCACCACTTACGGGCTATTCGTGCCCGTGCCACCTTTTGGGTGGCTTAATCTTCATCAATCAATGAATAGCAGACAGTTCAATTTCCACAGTCAACAATGTAGCACATGGCGTGTACAGTTCTAATCGACCCAAGACACTACAGCTTCGACACAGAGCAGACAGCAGACTACGACCGCATCGAGCCGCCACGCTCTCGCTCCCCGAGTTCAGACACACAATTCCCAATCGAGCCGCCACGCTCTCCCACATAGAGCTCCACGACTCCGGCCTCACTCAGCTGTCTGCTCTGCTCCAGGCTTCGTCTCAACGTCTACGACACTGCTGTATCCAGGACTACTAAATAAATATGAAACTCACTAAACACTGTGTATCTAATCTACCTGTAACGATTCTATTGTTACGTAAAGTACGGTGACAATAAACACAGACACTAAGAGAATATATATATATTTAGTCGAGTATACAGAAGTACGCAGGTGATACCTTGGCGAGCAATGGTGTGAGTTGAGCGCACTGAGAGTCGGTATGGTATCTCGCAAGTGTCTGTTCTAGACCACACTTGAAAGTAGACTAGTTAATATTTGATTGATTGATTGATGAAGATTAAGCCACCCAAGAGGTGGCACGGGCATGAATAGCCCGTAAGTGGTGGCCCTTTCGAGCCATTACCAGTATCAAAAGATGATACTGGAGATCTGTGGAGGCGCAACTGCACCCTGCGTGACGGGAGATGTCTCCCGGACCAAGTGGTGACCAAATGGTGAGTTAATATTTGCTATTCTGCTGCTTATATGCTCGGGCAACACCTCACCTCATTCATCTCCAAAGGTTGACAGGAATATTAACAAAGCATTTGGCGAGTATATTATTGGGATAATCTTCTCGCTACAGAACTCCCCCTCTCTGGGGATGAAAGGAAAAATACTTGATCAAGGAACCTAGCTGGTCGGTGAATAGTACGCCCTGCTCGCGTTATATAACCATAAAAGTTAACTTCCTCCTCTTCACTGATGTCATCTAACTGGGATCTTAGGGTAGGAGGTCGCACTGGATCGTCCGTCGTCGTAGGATCAGGTGGCGGTGCGGCTGGTAACTGTGATCGAAAAGTGAACGGCGTAGTCGGCGGATGTGTCTCTGGAGGGATGTCTGGGGCAGCGTCACAGTGTGCTGGTTTAAGGCGATCGATGGAGATGTTTACCCGCTGTCCTCGGCGTTCAATGGTGAAGAACTTCGGTGTTCGAGAAACCACTTTAAATGGTCCTTCGTAAGGTGACTGTAGAGGGCGTCGAACAGCGTCGACTCTTACAAACACGTGTTCAGTTGTGTGGATTGATTGATAAAGATTAAGCCACCCAAGAGGTGGCACGGGCATGAATAGCCCGTAAAGTTGTGTGGAGCTCATGAGGCACATATGTAGCACGAGTTGTCGATTGGCGTGGTGGTGTAGGCACCTATGCTCGGGCAACACCTCACCGTGTTGCTCGGGGCAACACCTCACCTCATTCATCTCCAAAGGTTGACAGGAATATTAACAAAGCATTTGAGCTAGTATATTATTGGGATAATCTACTCGCTACATACCCAACAACGTAACATAATCGTACGTTACAGAACATTTCAATTTTTATTTATATAGATTTATTTATTTATTTATATACAAAAAGGTACATTGGGTTTGAGAGAATACATAGCATAGTATTTACAATCTTGTAAAGCCACTAGTGCGCACAGCGTTTCGGGCCTTAATCTTTTAGTTTAGTTCATTTATTGTGCACCCCATACCCATCTTGTGGGCGGTAGTGGAAAGGGTTACAGAAGCACATAATGGGCTCAGGGACTGAACCCCACAATTCATTTAGCTATGCAAGTTACAATCTTGATGAGCTAGTTACAAAATTCAATATAAATCGCGCTAACTGTAGGTAGTAACTGAGTGATTTTAACCTATCCACTGCTGCCCACTGTATGGGGGGGGGGCGGTGTGCAGGACAAACATATCAATTTTAACACTAGCTCTCCACATATGTCAGTTGCTTAACACTTCCCTGGATTTTCCCCTTGGAATTACGGGCGTTTTGCTTAACCGCTTGTCGGATCACGACGTAAATTTACGGACCGTGTTATAGTGGGTATTTACTACTCGATCGACTTGGGGTTTGTATGAATATGTTTGCCATTAAATTTTTGTTTTCTCTAACAGGCACAGTGCCTATTTGAGAAAACGGCAATGTATTGTAACTTAGAGGAGAGACTATTGAGTTGGTGACACAACGAGGGTAATCGCTCACTCCACACACTCTTGTGCTGGCCGCGATCATGATTCTACATTTATATGCATATGCCTGTGTAGAGAATTTTATTCCGAACACTATACAAACAAAAAAAATGGTGTGAAACAAGTATAAACTTGAAAAAAACATGAACAAAGTAAAAACTTTTTACGCTCACGGGTACAAACATGCGTAAGATTTTATTCGCCGCAAATTTATTTGACACTCTGTTGGCCAATTCTACCCATGTTCTTATAGAACTTTCTATTGTTATATATAAAACTTTTTATTGCGAACACATTGCTATAAAAATGAAATACGTAGCTCGAGAAATAATGTCAGGACAGTGAAATAAGTATAAACTTTCAAAGCGCTGCATCACAACAGTGTCGTCGCTGCTGAAATCACGGCTAACGCTTCGCCCAGTTCCCACACTCGTGCGGAACATAATTAGACATTGATAGGCATATGTCTGGGTGGGGAATTTTATTGCGAGTTCAGTGATATCAAAATAAGCGCTGTAGGATGACTGTGAGGCGAGTCAAGGTTCAAGGGTGCCGAGTCTGTCCTGTCTGTGGGTGCAGTTTATAGAATTCCTAACACTGATGTGTCCGAATTCCACTCAAACCTTAGAAATCTAATACTTGATAACAGACTGAACAAAAACCACCTAATTATCGCAGGGGACTTTAATATTGACCTCTGCGAGCCTGAACACCCTACTGCTGTTAGCTTCCTCAACTGTATGAATTCCTGCTTCCTCATACCCTTAATCACTAGACCTACTAGAATCACTGATAGCACTGCCACGACGCTAGATCACATCTGGACAAACATAACCTCTCCGCTTACTTCAGGTATAATCACCGATAGCACTACAGACCATTACCCCACATTTCTCTTAACTAACATTAGCAAACCACCTCTTGAGTCAAGAGAGATACGTTTTAGACTACACAATGAAACTGCTATAGACAATTTTATAACTGCTGCTGATAATGTCAACTGGGAGTCCGAGTTAGGTAACATAGTGGGCATCAACCTAGCAGTGCAATCTTTTCTTCAAAAAACTCTTAGCCTTTATAATACCCACTGTCCTATGCTTACAAAACAAGTCACAACCAAAAGGCTTAACAATCCCTGGCTTACAAAGGGAATACTTAAATCTATTAATAAAAAACATGACCTTGAGAAGAAGTATAGGTTAGGAATTGTCTCCAAAGAATTCTCAAAGAATTACTCATTATTGCTGTCTAAGATAATTAGACGAGCCAAAACTAAATACTACGAAGATAAATTTACCCAAATAAAGAGCAACATTAAATAAACTTGGAGAACAATTTCACAAATATTGGGATCAAAGAAGTCTTTAAATAACAAACCGACTCTCCTGTCTAATAACGATGGTCAGCTTTCAGCCTCTGATTCTGCTATTGAGTTCAATAGGTTCTTCTCTTCCATTGGTTCATCCCTTGCAAATGATATTCCATCTTCCAGTACTGACATTAAGGACTATCTTACAGGTAACTATCCACAGTCTCTGTACCTAAAGCCTATTAATTCCACTGACGTCAATGAGATAATCCTTTCCCTTAAAACCAAGTCTGGTGCCCTTGAGGAGATACCAACTTTAATTTACAAAAAAGCCTCCAGATCTTTAGCCCCTGCTATTGCTTTGCTCTTCAACAAGTCACTTGAACTCCAAACCTTCCCAGATATTCTAAAAAAAAACGAGAGTAACGCCTGTCCACAAATGTGGTGATCTCACAGATGTTAACAACTACAGACCTATATCTATCCTGCCAAACTTGTCAAAAATTTTTGAAAAACTAATCTATAAGCAGCTTTACTCATATCTAGCCAAACTCAATATACTTAGCCCTTGCCAATATGGCTTCAGACCCAAAAAAAGCACTAACGATGCACTTATTAGTATGCTTAACTCGATTCATACAGCTCTTGATAAAAATGAGTTCCCTGTTGGGTTGTTTGTGGACCTGCGTAAAGCTTTTGATACTGTCAACCACCAAAACCTTCTTCTTAAATTACATCATTATGGAGTCAGAGGACAATCCCTACAATACCTCAAATCCTACCTTACTGACAGGCTCCAATATGTTTCTGTGAATAATACAATTTCTCCCACCCTACCCATCAACATTGGTGTTCCCCAGGGCAGCATACTTGGCCCTCTCCTCTTTCTCATCTACATTAATGACCTTCCAAATGCCTCCCAACACCTCAAACCAATTCTATTTGCTGACGACACAACCTTCATTTACTCCAGTCCTGATCCCCTTGCTCTAAATGCCACAGTAAATATTGAGCTAAATAAAGTCCATCTGTGGCTAACTGCCAACAAACTCACCCTTAACATTGACAAAACTTTCTATATTCTGTTTGGCAATAAATCCTCTAATCAAATAAATCTCAAAATAAACAATACCGAAATTTGTAACAAATTAGATGGCAAATTCCTTGGCATTCTCATTGACCACAAGCTGAATTTCCAGGGACACATTCTAAATATATCAAAAAAAGTTTCAAAAACTGTGGGCATTCTTTCTAAGATCAGATATTATGTACCACGCCCTGCCCTGGTGACTCTCTATTACTCCCATATCTATCCATATCTCAACTATGGTATTTGTGCTTGGGGCTCTACTACCCAAAATCACTTACGTCCTCTAATTACTCAACACAAAGCTGCTATTAGGACAATATCCAATTCTGGCCCCAGACATCACTCGGTACCCCTACTTAAATCTCTGAATATGTTAGACATTAAGTCACTGCACATTCTCTCATGTGTATTATACATATATAAAACGCTAAACTATAATGCCAATCCTGATCTCAAAAGCGTCATAGAAGGTTGTAACAGAACCCATGAGCACCACACCAGAAATAAATACAGTTTTGATATTCCTAGAGTACGACTTAATCAAACTAGAAATGCTCTACAAATCAAGGGGCTCAGAATGTGGAATGACCTTCCCAACCATGTTAAAGACTGTACCTCTCTCAACCAGTTTAAGTTAAAAACGAAGCTATACCTAATAAATTCCCTGTAACCTACCTTACCCTTCTATTGTCAACCAATGTCTGTTTTTCTTTAAAGAGCGCTGTTTGTCGACATAATTGTATTTGTGCTGCTTTTTCATCTATGTTTTCATTTCTTGTTTTCATTCTACTCATTATGCTCAATTAGTCTTAAGCTTGTCATTTAAGTTTATCATGCCCGAAACGCTTTGCGTAATAGTGGCTTTAGGCATTGTATGTACTAGCTCTACCTATAAGTCAACCAATCCTTGTAAAAATTTATTGTATGTATGTACCTTACCTAAATAAAATTGTATTGTAACATTTACTTCCTGTTTGGGTGTCACGGCGAGTCATCTTCGTGTTTATTTACTTCGTGGTGGGATAGCAAATGCTTTGGTGACATTTTATGCATATGATCTTGTAGAGAATTTTATTGCCAACGCATTGATACCAAAATGAAAAACGTAGCTCGAGAATTGATGTTAGGAGCGTGAAAAGATTATACACTTTTTTGTGTTTACACTTGAGCGCCCAGAACGCCGCGCCCACAAGGCGCTTTTTTTTCACGAGTGCCGCGCGCACTAAAGTGCTTATTAATTTAGAACCTGTACTTGAAGTCGATCTCGAACCCATTGTTGATGTGACGACTTATATTGAATTTTGTAACTAGCTCATCAAGATTGTAACTTTTTAGTTTTTTAGTTTAGTTCATTTATTATGCACCCCATACCCATCTTGTGGGCGGTAGTGGAAAGGGTTACAGAGGCACATAATGGGCTCAGGGACTGAACCCCACAATTCATTTAGCTAAGCAAGTTACAATCTTGATGAGCTAGTTACAAAATTCAATATAAGTCATCACATCAACAATGGGTTCGAGATCGACCACAAGTACAGGTTCTAAATTAAGCAACTGACATATGTGGAGAGCTAGTGTCAAAATTTATATGTTTGTCCTGCACACCGCCCCCCATTCAGTGGGCAGCGGTGGATAGGTTACAATCACTTAGTTACTACCTACAGTTAGCAAACTGGGGATATTTGGCTAAAATTTCTGGTAGCAGATCATTTGAATGAAATATTGACACATCGCTGGAACATTGGTTATAGAATTGTCTCTAAATTCACGTATCTTTTCGCACTCCATCACATAGTGACGGAGGGTGTGCGAATAATTTTGTTGACACAGTTTACATTTGGTCAGGTCTACATCAGCAGATAATGAGAATTCCCAGAGATACTTGTAACCGAGTCTAAGCCGAGCAGTAGTAACATCTAGAAGTCTGCTGATTTTATTGGATGATCCATAGATGTGTGGCTCCTCTTGCATGATAGTATGATGATAGATGGAATTACTGGTGTCAATTTCACTTTGCCTCAGATCTACAAGATCTTGTTGAAGTTCTCGGTGTACTGCTGCTCTCAGATTGCTCATTGACAATCCAAGGTTACACTCAACGGCTCCTTTAAAGGCAGAATCTTTGGCTAACTTATCAGCTCTATCATGCATTCGGAGGCCAACATGAGATGGAGACCACATGAAATGGACTCTGTTACCATCCTTAATAATTTTGTTGTATTTGTGTCTAGCTTCGGACACGAGCATGTTACAGTTATGTCTTAAAGAGTTGAGAGCATTTAAGGATGATAAGGAGTCACTTACAATTAATGTATCAAGTTTTGAGACTTGTACACATTTCAGTGCAAGGATCAAGGCAAATAGTTCAGTCTGAAGGGTAGAGGCCCAGTTGTTTATACGGACTCCCCACTCAAAGTATAGGCCATCGCCCATTGTCAGGACAACTGCACTTCCAGCTGCACCCGTGGTGCGGTGTAGGGAACCATCAGTGTATATAATTTGAGAGAGAGAATGCTCTGTGGACAGAGCATCAATATGGCTTAAGGCGTTGAGCTTTGCCTCAAGACGAAGCTTGGGCTGATCTCTAATTTGCTTCTTGGGTGGAAAGGGAGGGATTAAAACTGGAAAGGGTGTAACCTCCCACGGTGCAGGAAAGTGCCGTTGTTGTTTCTCTTGGTACAAATCATGAACCCCATACATTCTGAGTTGAGTTCCAGTTTTTGTTATCCATTTGCTTAGCTAAATGAATTGTGGGGTTCAGTCCCTGAGCCCATTATGTGCCTCTGTAACCCTTCCACTGCCGCCCACAAGATGGGTATGGGGTGCATAATAAATGAACTAAACTAACTAGTCGTCACATCAACAATAGGTTCGAGATCGACCACAAGTACAGTTTCTAAATTAAGCAACTGACATATGTGGAGAGCTAGTGTCACAATTGATATGTTTGTCCTGCACACCGCCCCCCATCCAGTGGGCAGCGGTGGATAGGTTACAATCACTTAGTTACTACCTACAGTTAGCAAACTGGGGATATTTGGCTAAAATTTCTGGTAGCAGATCATTTTGAATGAAATATTTACACATCGCTGGAACATTGGTTATAGAATTGTCTCTAAATTCACGTATCTTTTCGCACTGGCCAACATAAGAACTGCCTTCAGAAACTTGTGTAAGGAATCTTTCAGAACCCTGTATACCACTTATGTAAGACCAATCCTGGAGTATGCAGCTCCAGCCTGGAGTCCATACCTAGTTAAACACAAGACAAAGTTAGAGAAGATTCAGCGGTATGCCACCAGGCTCGTCCCGGAACTGAGAGGATTGAGCTACGAGGAAAGGCTAAAGGAGCTGAACCTCACATCCCTGGAAAACAGAAGAGTAAGGGGAGACATGATAACCACCTACAAAATTCTCAGGGGAATTGACAGGGTGGACAAAGACAAACTCTTCAGCACGGGTGGGACACGAACAAGGGGACACAGGTGGAAACTTAGTACCCAGATGAGCCACAGAGACGTTAGAAAGAATTTTTTCAGTGTCAGAGTAGTTAATAAATGGAATGCATTAGGAAGTGATGTGGTGGAGGCTGACTCCATACACAGTTTCAAATGTAGATATGATAGAGCCCAGTAGGCTCAGGAATCTGTACACCAGTTGATTGACAGTTGAGAGGTGGGACCAAAGAGCCAAAGCTCAACCCCCGCAAGCACAATTAGGTGAGTACAATTAGGTGAGTACTCCATCACATAGTGAATCTAACAGATAATTTTAAGTAGGTAAATTCTAGCAGAATTAATGAAATGATAACAGATACATTGCAAGAAAAAAATGAGATAAGAGAGATACAAGCATCTTGCATGTGCATGACATGAGTTAGTTAGTTTTGCTCATTTATTATGCACCCCATACCCATCTTGTGGGCGGTAGTGGAAAGGGTTACAGAGGCACATAATGGGCTCAGGGACTGAACCCCACAATTCATTTAGCTAAGCAAGTTACAATCTGCATGGCATGAGACTTATAGTTCTGTAATTGCCAGGGATAATGGGCTTCAATATGGGAACGATTATTGCGTGGGCAACACTCAGAAATTATATATTAAACAGGTAGAGTAGTGGATTCCCAGACACTTCACACAGTGCATTGAGTATGGCGTAGGTGACGCCATCTTCACCAGGGATTCGTATCCTGTCCGGGGAGGATTGACTGGGCGCCAATCCTTAACTGTATCCTCTGTTCACCCAGCAGTGAATGGGTGCTGGTTGTTAAACGATTTGGCGGATCGTATTCCGGGGGAAAAAAATGGATTAAGGACCTGCCCGAAACGCTATGCGTGCTAGTGGCTTCACAAGAATGTAAGAACGCATGACTATATAAAATAAATAAATGAAAACTGATTACAAGGTCGAGGTGTTATCGTGATCAGCCGCCGACGACGACCTCCTCAGGAGCCGTACAACATGCCTGCACATTTCGGTGTGCGAGAAGTGGTGGAGGCCTACAGCAGGATCAGTGGGCATGTGCACAGGACGCCAGTCTTCACCTCCCACAGCCTCAATGTCTTGGCCGGCACGCAGCTCTACATGAAGGCTGAAAACCTCCAGAAGACTGGCGCCTTCAAAGCCAGAGGCGCCTGCAATGCTGTTAGTTCCCTAAACCTCATATTTATTTATTTACCTGTGGGCCACTAACACACTAGTGGCCTCAACGAGGATTGGAAGCCGGAGACTTGTCAAAGGTCCTCCCATTTGTCTTGATGATTTGTTTATATTGTATAGGGTAATATACAAACTAGTTTGTATAGTCATACTGAATTACTGCTTTCTCATCATAATTATTTTGACTAAAAAGGTAGGTTAGGGGTCAGGATAATGTTTGCTTATTATGTTTGGCTCATCTATGAGAGTGGTCATTGAGAATACTTAATCTGGGAGTAATCTTAATACTGTGAACATATTAGGATACTCGTCATTTCGTACTCAAAACGAGATTTGGTTATATCGTACAAAAGCATTTACTGGAGGGAAACTAACCCTAGTGGCCTCGACGAGGACAGGAAGCCGGGTGCTTGTCGAAGGTCCCCCCCTATTTGTCCTGATGAAGGAAGAAAGGGGACATCACCCTTGATGAAGGAAAAGGGGGACATCAAACTCAACATTTTGACAAGACTCCTTTTCTACTTTTCACAACAGTTTAATCATTAGTCATAATCATGGGTTATAAACCCATGGAACCACCTACCTGCCAAAGACATAAATGCCAAAATTATGTTAAGGTAATAAAATTTACCTGAAAAAAATCATCAAGGCAAATACAGGGGGGGAAGACCTTCGACAAGCCGCTGGCTTCCTGTCCTCATCGAGGCCACTTGGGTTAGCGACCCTTAGCTAAATTAGGTTATACTGAATCAGGTTAGTTGGCTTACCAACATGTTAAATCTAAGTAAGGTTACCTTCCTGTTGATGCAAGATTACCTGTTGATGACTTCAAGGATCAGTGTCCCCATGGCCAAGTCTCTGACTAGTCCTCCTAGTTGCTAGTCTAATCAACCAGGTTGTTAGATCCTTACAGCTGATGTACAAGTCACAGCCTGGTTGATCAGGTATACTTTGAAAGTGCTTGTCAAGTTCTCTTTTGACCACTTCGATAGGTTGGCCAGTTATATCATGTATGTAATTACCTAAGTGTAGTTACAGGATGAGAGCTATGCTCATGGTGTCTCATCTTCCCAGCACTCTTATCATATAACGCTTTGAAACTACTGACGGTTTTGGACTCCACCACCTTCTTACCTAACTTGTTCTTACCTAACTTATTCCAACCGTCTACCACTCTGCGAAAGTGAATTTTCATATATTTCTTTGGCATCTTTGTTTAGTTAGTTTAAATCTATGACCTCTTGTTCTTGAAGTTCCAGGTCTCAGGAAATCTTCCCTATCATTTTTATCAATGCCTGTTTCTATTTTGTACGTAGTGATCATATCGCCTCTTTTTCATGTATTTCTAGTTTTGGCATATTTAATGCCTCTAACCTCTCCTCATAGCTCTTGCCCTTCAGTTCTGGGAGCCACTTAGTAGCATGTCTTTGCACCTTTTCCAGTTTGTTGATGTTCTTAAGATATGGGCACCACACAACCGCTGCATATTCTAGCTTTGGCCTAACAAAAGTGGTGAACAATTGCTTTAGTATTTCACCATCCATGTATTTAAATGTGTATGGGGAAGAGTGTTGAAAAAGTCTTAAGCCTTTGGTGTTGAATGAGTTCTCTCTCAGCATGCCTACTGCACCACTGCTTTTCAGTAGGACTATTTTGCACATCCTGCCATGCTTTCTGGTCTCGTGTGTGCAGATTTGGAATCATTCCTTCTATTGTTTTCCAAGTGTAATTATTATGTATCTCTTCCATCTGTGCTCTAGGACTTAGATTTAAAAATTTTAGGTTAGGTAGATTTTAAAATCTGTTGGCAAACCATCTGATGTACAATGTGACATATCATCCAAGATAGTTTGCCAGCATTATAATGTATACCCAAGACAACTCACCCTAGCCTACTGCATATACAGTATTTGAAATAATAATGTACAAACATCTTTACTCATACCTAGATAAACATAATAATAATAATAATAATAATAATAATAATAATAATAATATTTTATTTAGGAAAAATACATACATAGATGCAGTTACAAACATTCTGATTTATAGATAGGGCTAGTACATACAATACCTAAAGCCACTAGTACGCATAGTGTTTCGGGCAAGGTGAGGTAGGGAGAAAACACTTAGACTAAAACTTAATAGTAATTGAGCTTAAAGTATAAATTGTGTTGAAAGAAAAAAATAAAAGATAAAAAATGTGAGGGGGGGGAACATGGTAGAAAATAGCTAATGTACAAGTTGGTCAACAAACGGTATTGTTTAAAAAAAATAGTAAGACGAGTTGACATTTAGGGGTAAGGTATGTTACATGGAGTTAATTAGGTAGTACTTAGTTTTCATCTTAAACTGGTTGAGAGAGGTACAGCCTTTGACATGATTGGGAAGGTCATTCCACATTCTGGGTCCCTTGATTTGTAGAGCATTTCTAGTTTGATTCAGTCATACTCTTGAAATATCAAATAGGTATTTGTTTCTGGTGTGGTGCCCATGCGTTCTGTTACAACCTTCTAAGAAGCTTTTAAGGTCAGGATTGACATTACAATTCAAGAGTTTTCAATATATAGAGAACACATGAGAGGATGTGCAGTGACTTAATATCTAACATATTCAGAGATTTGGGATTTAATGCCTCTCAACACCTCAAGGCAATTTTATTTGCTGTCAGCACAACCTTCATTTTCTCCAGTCCTAACCCTCATATTCTAAATGACCCAGTGAAACCTGAACTAAAAAAAAAAAAAAAAGTCTTTGGATAACTGCTAACGAACTCTACCTTAAAATTTGATAAAACCTGTCTATATTTTGTTTGGTAATAAATCCACTGATCAAATTAACCGAAGAATTTACAATATCCAGATTAGGAATGGAATAGATGGTAAATTCCTTGGTGTCCTCATTGATAATAAGTTTGAACTTCCAGGGCCATATACGTTTATACCAAAGCAGGGATGCAAAACTAGGAAACAGGATTGGTTCAGCAAAAGTTGCGAGAGGACCAGAGACCAAAAGACTCAAAAATGGAATCAATATAGGAAGAGGCCAAACCCCCAAACATACAGCGATACAAAGTTGCAAGAAACTACTACACGGCAGAAAGATATTTTGAGAAAGGGATAGTGGAAAAATGTAAAACAGAACCAGGCCTGTTCTATAAATTCATCAACAACAAATTGCAGGTAAAGAATAATATTCAGAGGTTGAAAATGGGAAACAGATTCACAGAAAATGGAAAAAGAAATGTTTGAAACATTAAATGAAAAGTTCCAAAGTGTGTTTGTACAAAATTAAATCTTCAGAGAACCAGACACAATAAGAATTCCAGAGAATAACATAGAGCACATAGAAATGTCTAGAGGTGAAGTGAGAAAAATGCTCATGGAACTAAGTAAGAACAAAGCAGTTGGCCCAGATGGAGTTCACCATAGGTTCTGAGAGAATGTGCACCTGAGCTCAGCATTCCACTTAACTAATTTATAAGGCATTCCTGGGCACAGGAATCATAGCAGAAGTGTGGAAAAAGGCTAACATAGGTCCAGTCTACAAAAGTGGCAGCAGGGAAGACCCACTAAATCATAGACCTGTATCATTGACAAGTGTAATAGTCTAAATATTGGAAAAATAATTAAAACTAAATGGGTAGAACACCTGGAGAAAGTGATATAATAACGGACGGACAGTATGGTTTTCGATCTGTAAGATCCTGGGTAACAAATTTACTCAGTTTCTATGATTGAGCCACTAACATTTTACAGGAAAGAGATGGTTGGGTTGATTGCATCTATCTGGACCTAAAAAAGGCTGTTAACAGAATTCCACATAAGTTCTGGAAACTGGAACATATTGGAGGAGTGACAGGTAGGCTTCTAACATGGATGAAAAATTTTCTGACTAGAAAATGAGTTTGTTTACTGATGATGCTAAGATAATAGGGAAGATAACAAACTAGGTGATTGTCATGTCCTTCAAGAGGACCTGGACAAAATAAGTGTATGGAGTACCACTTGGCAAATGAAATTTAATATGAATAAATGCCATGTTATGGAAAGTGGAATAAGAGAATGTAGACGCCACACAACCTATAAGTTATGTGAGAAATCTTTAAAGAATTCTGATAAAGAAAGAGATCTAGGGATGGTTCTAGAGAGAAAACTATCACCTGAGGACCACATAAAGAACATCGTGCGAGGAGCCTATGCTACACTTTCTAACTTCAGAATTGCCTTTGAATACAGTGGTAGATACCGTTTACTAAGCCGTTAGAAGCCGTTTACTAATTTAATCTGTTCCCAGAGAAGGTTTGTAAACCGAAACAAATTATTTCATAAGAAATAATGTAAATTAAATTAATCCGTTCCACACTCCCAAAAATATTAACTTCAAAATACATTTCATACATAATATTACAAATATTTTGTACTATAGTATGTACAAGTTATAGCTTACCTTTACTGATGACTCTTGTTGGCATATGGAAGACGGTGAGGATGGGGGTGGGGGGGGAGGTGTTAGTGTTTGGAAGGGGGAGTCCCCTTCCATTATAACATCAGGCAATAATGACTTCTCTGGGGTACTCTCTCTCCTACATTACACAGACATACCACTAGGACCTAGTTGTGGGTCTCTGCTTGCTTGTCTTACTAAGAATCTGTATGTAGACATTTGGTTTTTCCCTACGTTTAAACACTTGTCTGTAGTGAGACATCACATTGTCATTAAAATGGTTAATGCAAAGACCTATTAAAGCTTTATCTGGGTGACACTTTTCAGCAAAACTTTGCAATTCTTCCCATGCTGCTCACATTTTCTTAATTAATGAGGAAGGGACATCCTCTCTTGCTTCCTCTTCCCTTGAAGAAATTTCCTCAGCCGTCTATTATTGCTGCTTCTTGAGAAGGGCTAGGAGTTCGTCGGTGGTCAGTTCTTCGCTGTGTTTCTCCACCAACTCCTCCACATCAGCACCATCCAGCCTAGCTTGTACA